TTGATTTTTCTTATTCTTAATTGATTTAATAGATAACTCATTGCTCACAGTAATAATAGTAACTAAATGTTAATTGATTATGGGACATTGATAAATGAAATGAATGGCAGTAATATTATAAGAGATAGGAGGGAATAATTCAAGAAACTCCATTATAAGTTACCTGAACTACTTGTGAAGCAAAATAGTATTATTTTTTATTTGGTTTATATTAGTTGTAAATGTATATTTAAAACTCTAGAGAAAATATTTAAATTTTTAAAGCTTTACAATTGACATTCTAAGTGAAGAGAGAAAATGGAATTATATAATATGCTCAATTAAATCCAGAGAACAGAATCAAAAAGGAAGGAAAAAGAAAAAAGGAAAGAATAAATGCTATGAATGAAAACAGTTACAAACATGGTAGATACTAACCCAACTATATCAGTATTCACTTTAAATGTGAATTGTCAAAATACTCTACATATAAGACAGAGATTTTCGAAGTGGATAAAAAGCCAGGACCCAGCTATATATCGTGCAGAAGAAACCCACTATAAATATAAAGACATCTATAGGTTAAAAGTAAAAGTATGGCAAATATATGCAATGCTAAGTAACCAAAAGAAAGTTGGATCGACTATATTAATTTCAGACGAAGTAGATTTCAGACCAAGGAAAATTATCAGAAATAAAGTGGACACTACTTAATGATAAAAGGTCAATCCTCCAAAAAGACATAATAATCCCTAATATGTATAAATCTAACAATAGAGCACCAAAATTTATGCGTAAAACTGACAGAACAGCAGGGAGATGTGGACAATTCCACTACTGTAATTAGGGACTTGAACTTCCTTCTTTCAGTAATTGATCAAGAAAGCAGAATATCAGTAAGGATATAGGGACTGAAGAACACCATCAATCAACTTGATCTCATTGACATTTGTAGAATAGTCTATCCAATAACATCACAATAAATATTTTCCTCAAGCCCACATTGAACATTTACAAAGAGACGCCACAGGCACCTTAAGAAATGTAAAAAAACAAAAAAAGAAATAACACAAAGGATGTTCTCAGATCACAAAGGAATTAAACTACAAGTTATTAACAGGAAGATATCTAGAAAATCCCTAAATTTTTGAGATTAAACAACATATTTCTAAGTAAAGTGTAGGTAGAAGAGGAAGCCTCAAGGGAAATTTTGAAAATTTTGTGAACTAAATAAAAATGAAAGTAAAACTAATCAAAATGTGTAGGAAACAGAGAAATAGTGCTTAGAAGGAAATTATAGCACTTAACGCAAGTATTATAAAAAATAAAGATCTAAAACCAATAATTTGAGCATCTGCTTTGGAAAACTAGAAAAAGAAGATCAATTTAAACTTAAAAGAGAAAAATAAATAATAAAAGTTTCAACAGGCACCACTAAAATTGAACATAAGAAAAAAAATACAGAAGTCAATGAGATAAAAATCTAATTTCTTCAAAACATCTGTAAAATTTATAAATGTCTAGCCAAGCATACAAGAAAATGATAAAATAACACAAATTAATACTATCAGAAATGTGAGAGAGTCATAAATACTAACCATATGGACATTAAAAGTAAAAGAGTACTACGAATAGCCCTATATTCACAAATTTGATAACTTACATTATATGAATCAATTCTTTGAAGACACAACAAACAAAACTCACACAGAGAGAAATAGAAATATGAATTGGCCTATATCTATTAAACAATGAATTAATAAATAATAACCTTCCAAAATAGGAAACACTGGGACCAGATGGTTTCGGTGATGGACTAGAAAACATTTAAAGAATGATAATCATTCTCTCCAATCTTTTCCAGAAAATAGAAACAGAGGACCCACCTATAACTTATTCTATGAGGTCAGCATTACTCTAATACCAAAGCCAGTTGCAGACATTAACAAAAAGGAATAATTAGACCAATATTTCTCATGAACATAGATGCATAAAGCCTCAACAAAATGTTAACAAATCAAATCCAACAATGTATTAAAAAAATATTACATTACATCCAAGTGGGATTTATTCCAGGTGTGCAAGTCTGGTACAATATATTTGAAAATCAATTACAGTCATGTGCCATATAACAACTTTTCGGTCAATGATGGATTACATATAGGACAGTGGTCCCATAAGATTAGTACCATATAGCCTAGGTGTGTAGCAGGCTATACTGTAAGCACACTCTATGATTGTTGCACAGCAACAAAATCACCTTACAATATATTTCTCAGAACATATTCCCATCATTAAGTGACCCATGACTGTAATGTTATATTCATCAAATCAACAAGCTAAAGAAGAAAAATCATATGATCATATCAATTGATGAAGTAAAAGCATTGACAAAGTCCAACATTCATTTGTGGGTAAAGCAAACTCTCAGCAAACTAAGATTAAAGGGTAGCTTTTCAAACTGGTAAAGAACATCTACAAAAAAACCCTACCTCTAACATCATACTTGATGGTGAGAAACTGAATGTTTTTGCTCTAAGATCAGGGACAAGGCAAAGATGCCACTACTCACCATTCCTATTCAGCATTGTACTGCAATTCCTATCTAGAGTAATAATATACTACAAGGAAATAAAAAGCATACACATTTAGAAGGAAGAAATAAAATCATTTGACCCCAGAGGGATAGGTGAAGCACACGAGATTTTTAGGTTGATAAAACTATTTTGTATGAAATTGTGATGGCAAATACATGACACTGTGCGTTTTTAAAAAATCATAAAACTTACAGCATGGAGTGGTCTTTAGTACATGCAAATTGAAAATAATTACTGAGAAAGTTGGAGGATTAACAGAGGGAATGCAGACTGTAACAAAATAATCTAGCTGTATGGCAAATGTATGAAATAACCTTACTAAAGAAGATGGTGGGAAAAGATATTGACCTAAATAACTTTGGAAATGAGTGAAGTGTAGGAATAAAGGCAAAAGGGACTGTTCATATACACCTTACTCCAGTTGATAAAATTGTTTCCCACACGGGCAAGGATTAACAACTCTGATATGGCTTTATATGTATACTGGAAATTAACAAGTAAATGGGTGACAGATGATTGAAGCCAGGTTTTACACTGTTGCAGTGGGAATTTACTGATAAGCAAAGGGAAGTGGCTAGAAAGAACCACGTGCAAATCAATTAAAGTTGAAAATATCAATAAGATATTAATAAGAAATCAAGATTAGCTTAATTTAGATACAAGTGTTTACATGTAGAAATATTTATACATGGGTCATTTGCATGAGTTAGCATACACACAAAATTCCTTGCTCTGTCAGCTGAGAGAACTTAAAAGAAAGACATCCAAGCAGCGATGAGCATACTCAGGGCCTAGGTCTTGGTTTCTAATACTATTCGCCAGTAAAAAGAACAAAATTTCTTAGAGAAATGGCTAATTCTAGGACTGGGGCAGAAAATATCCAAGATGAGCCTGGAGTATCTTCAAATACCATGAAGTGAGAAGTGCTACATACACACCACACACACACACGCACACACGCTGATAATGACTATTAAGTCAAAGAAGAATGAAAGCCAAATGAAAGAGCTCCTAATGGTCAAACTGGAACAAGTTGAGAAATAAAAAAGTAACATTGGATTATAACCCAAATTATAATAAAAATACCCTTAAGTTCATACTGATATAAATAAATGATTGGATAAATTAATAAATGGGGGAGAATAAATCAATCTGCCAGGGAAAATTCCAAATAATTTATTCAACCATGTAGCTACTACATCTTCAAGGAGGAGGAACAGAATTCCTACTCCTTAAGTGTGGGCTGCATATGGTGACTTCCCTCCCAAAAGTACAGTGTGGAAATGAGAAGTTTTAAAAAATAATTTCACAGTGGAAATATCTGACAAACACTACCTCAGACAACAGATCAAGGTCAACATACACAGCGGATAAGTCATGTTGATAGTATGTGCCCCTGATGATGTGATTGCAATAGCACTTTAACATCTATAATGTTCCTCTCCAAAACAAATAATCCCAGTCTAATCATGAGAATAACATCAGATAAATTCCAATAGAACAACTTCCTACAAAATACTTGAATAGTACTCTTTGATACTGTCAAAGTCATTACAAACAAGGAAAGTCTCAGAAATTCACAGCCAAGAGAAGCTTAAGGAGACATGGCAACTAATGCAATGTGGCATACTGGGTGAGATCTTGGGTCAAAAAAAGGAAATCAGGTAAAATTAAAAACTTTGAATGAAGTATGGAGTTCAGTTAATTGTAACGTATCAATATCGGCTCACTAATAGTAACAAATATATCATACTAATGCAAGATGATAATAATAAGGAAAACCGAGTGTGGAAGTATGGGAACTCTTAGTAATATATATTCGAATTTCTGGAAATCCAAATCTGCTCTAAAAATTACAATGTATAAAAATGTTTTCCAATACAAAATTAAACATCTAAACCTTCTTAGTGTTCAGATCATCATAAGACAGAAAATAACTTGAGTTGAATGGTGATGATAATTAGAATGATGATGAGGAGGAGGGGGAGGAAGAAGAAGAGGAGGAGCATTACTGCAATCAAATTTAGATGACAAAATAGTAGTTAGCTCATTATCGTTGAAATTATCAACTTCGGATTAAATTTATTCTGTCGTTAAAGAACGCCATACACTTAATATTTTTAATTGCATTTAGGTGTGCTGGTAACTCTCCTCATTGAAAGAATGAAGAAAGATCTTTGCGGACTGAACTACAAAGAAGTCTTCATGATTATGCCTTTTACGTCATCTATTGATAAATTTATTCCGTATCCATAAAACCTGAAATTATTTAAATAGTAACTAGAACCTAACTGTCTTAAATGGACACTTACAACTCTTTACTTCAGCACACAATAAACGGGAAGGAAGCACACACTCTCACCAAGAACAAATGTTTCACAGAGTGACATTTTGTTATTTGACATGAAATATGATGATGAGAAATCAAGAGGCATCCTTAGAGTAAAAAATCTTGGATACTCGATCTCGAATCTGTTTGGTCTTCACACCATATACGATAGGATTGAGCAAAGGTGGGACAAGCAGGTAAAGGTTGGACAGAAGAATATGAATGTAGGGTGGAATATGAAACCCAAACCTGTGTGTAAAGAAAGCCAGGAGATAAAACTCAAGGAAGACACAGATGTGGGCAATGCAGGTGTTAAAGGCTTTGAACCTAGCTTCCTTTTGAGGTAGAGTGAAGACAGTTATAAATATTCGGATGTAGGGGAGTGTGATGAAGCTTACGTCCAACCCAAGTTTGCTGAAAGCCACGAAGAGACCATAGATCTTGTTGATTCCAACATCTTCTGCTGCCAACTTCACGATGGCCATGTGCTCACAGTATGAATGGGAGACCACAGTGGTTTGATAGTGTTTCAGCCGGCATTTGATGAGGATGAGACATGGAGCTACAAGGAGGGCTGCTCTGAGTGTCACTCCAACCCCAATCTGAGTCAGAAGTTGGTGGGTAAAAATGGTTGCATGTCTCAGAGGATGACAGATTGCCACCTAGCGGTCCAGGGCCATGGCCAGCAGAATACCTGATTCAGTGGACTGGAAGGTGTGGATGAGCCACATCTGCAAGAGACAGACATCAAAGTATATGTCTGGCACATGAAACCAGAATATTCCTAGCATTTTTGGTAACATGCAAGTACTGAGAGCAATGTCTGTCATTACCACAAAGAGATATATGGGCTTGTGAAGGCTCCGCTCAAATTTGATGATGACCAGAAGCAGAGAATTCCCAAACAGAGCAATGATGTACATGGCACAGAAAGGAATCCCAATCCAGCACTGCACAGACTCCAAGCCAGGGATCCCAATCAGTGTCAGCACCGAGGGCACGAAGACTACGCCGTTGAGTTTGTACATGTTGCCTTAGAGCTGCCTGATTAATGCTTATAGTTTTGTGTTAATTTTCTCTCTTCTGTTAGTATTTGTTCTCGCCTAGATTTATAGAAAATTTTAGAATCAGAGTTTGAATGTGATTTTAAAGACCACTTTTAAAGCATACATATTTACTGATGATGTAAGTCTGGGAATGCGTATGCAGGCTCCCAGAATTCTCTCTCTCTCTTTCAACACAAAGGCACACAAATACACACACATTTCAAAACTCATAGAAGATTTACACACAATTAGTTTTGTATGTGCGTGTGTATGCATTTATCAGTTGAAGAATGTTAGTTTGGTTTTATAATAGGTTCGGGGACGTAAATAAGATGTTCTATCAATCTTGTTTTTACTCAAGAAGCATTCACAGGCAGTCATTTAGTCTGTAGTCAATAAAAAGAGGAAAAGAGAACCATTCACTATTTCATCAGTATTCTAGACCCAGGGCAAATAGGAAGTTATAGTGACTCTGACCTTAAAGGCAACAATCTATTTGTGAAGATGCATCATTACAATAAAAAGTTAAAAATTTCCATGCTTAAGATAGGAAAACTTAATATTATTAACATGTCACTTTTTGCCCATTTGATATATAAATACAATGTAATCCCAATCAAAATCCCAGCAGGTTATTTTGTGTATGTGTACAAACTGTTCTTCAGCTTAAATGGAAAGGCAAAAGACCCAGAATAGCCAACACAATACTGAAGAAAATAGAGTCAGAGGGCTGAGACTACCTGACTTCAGGACTTACTATATAAATGATGTTGGAAAAACTGGACAGCTACACACAAAAGAATGAAAGCAGATCATTATCTTATACCATACACAAAAATTAACTCGAAATAGATTAAAGACTTGAATGTAAGAGCTGAAACCATAAAACTCCTACTAGAAAATATAGGCAGTACACTCCTTGACATTGGTCTTAGCAGCATCTACTCAGGCAAGGGAAACAAAAGAAAAAATAAACAAATGGGACTACATCAGACTAAAAAGCTTCTGCAAGGCAAAGGAAACCGTGAACAAAACGAAAAGACAATCCACCAACTGGGAGAAAATATTTGCAAAGCGTATATCCAACAAGAGGTTAATTTCCAAAATATATAAAGAACTCATACAACTCAACAACAAAAAACAAACAACCATATCAAAAAATGGGCAAAGATATGAACAGACATTTTTCCAAAAAAGATATACAGATGGCCAACAGGCACGTGAAAAGATGTTCAACAGCACTAATTATCAGGGAAATGCAAATTGAAACTACAATGAGATATCACCTGTCAGAATGGCTGTAATTAACAAGACAAGAAATAACAAGTGTTGGATAGCATGTGGAAAAAAGGGAACCCTCATACACTGCCGATGGGAATGCAAACTGGTGCAGCCACTTTGGAAAATAGTATGGAGATTTCTCAAAAATTTAAGAATAGAAATATCATATGATCCAGCTATCCCACTACTGGATATTTATCCAAAGAAAGTGAAATCAACAATTCAAAGACATTTATGTGACCCTATGTTCATTACAACATTATTCACAATAGCTAAGGTGTGGAAGCAACCCAAGTGCTCATCAATGGATGAATGGATAAAGAAGATGTGGTATATATATACACAATGGAATACTACTCAACCACAAAAATAAACAAAATCATGCCATTTGTGACAACATGCATGGACTTGAAAGGCATTACGCTAAGCGAAATAAGCTACACAGAGAAAGAGAAACACCATAAGACTTCACTCATATGTGGAATATAAACACACGGATAAGGGGAACAGATTAGTGGTTAACAGAGAGGAAGAGCATGGGGGTGGGTGGAAAGAGTACAGGGGCACATATGTACGGTGATGTATAAATCTAGACTATTGGTGGTGAACACGGTGCAGTCTACACAGAACTGACATATAATAATGTACACCTGAAATTTATACAATGTTTTAAGCTAATATGACCTCAATAAAATGATTTAAAAAAAAGACACTACGAACTACAGTGATCAAGACAGTGTGGTAGTATAGAAGAATAGACAAATTGATCTGTGGAACAGAACTGAGAGTCCACAAATAGACACACACATATAGTCAACTGATATTCGACAAAGGAGCAAAGGCAATTTACTGGAGAAAGAATAGTCTTTTCAACAAATGATGCTAGAACAAGTGCACATCCACATGCAAAAATAAATGAATCTAGACACAGACCTTACACCTTTCACAAAAATTAACTCAGAATAGACTTCCTTGATTTAGAAAGCAAAACTATACAAATTCTAAAAGATAGCATAGGATAAACTCTAGGAGACCTTGGGTGTATCAGTGACCTTTTAATTAACAGCAAACATATGATACATGAAAAAAAGAAATTGATAAGTTGAACTTCACTAAAATTGAAATAGTCTGCTGCTCTGTGAAACACACTGTTAAAAGAGTGAAAAGACATACAAAGAACTCTTAAAACTCAACAATAAGAAAACAAACACAATTAAAAATAGGCAAAAGATCTGAACAGACACCTCACCAAAGAAGACATTACAGGTGACAAATAAGCACTTAAAAATTGTTCAACGTTATATGTCATTAGGGAATTTGTAAATTAAAACATCAATGCAATTCTAGTACACACCTATTAGAACGGCTAAAATTTAAGACTCTAATGTACCAAATGCTGGTGAGGAAGTGGAGAAACAAGAACTCTCCATTCATTAACGGTGAGGACACAAAATGGTACAGCTACTGGCAGACAATCTGGCAGTTTCTTACAAATCTAAACATAGGCTTATCACTCAGTCTGGCAATTATGTCCTAGGTATTAACCCAAATGACTCGAAAATTTATGTCTACACAAAAAGCTGCACATGAATATTGCCGGCATCTTTATTCATAATGGCTAGAACTTGGAAGCAATCAAGATGTCTTTCAACAGGTGAATGTATAAACAAGTTGTGGTACATCCATAGAATGAAGGAGTATTCAGTGGTGAAAAGAAACAAACTCTCAAATTACAAAACCTTAAATGAATATAGCTAAGTGAATAAAGCTGTCTTGAAAAAGTTACATACCATGTGCTTCCTACTATGTGATATTCTGGAAAGATAAAACTCTGCAGACAGTAAAATGATTAGTGTCTGCCGGGGTTTTGGGGAGAAGGGAGAGGGATGAATAGGTGGAGCACAGGACATTTTTAAGTCAGGGGAACTATTCTGTCTGATACTCTAGTGACTGATACACGACTTCATGCATTTTTCCAAACCCATTGAAATGTACAATACAAAGAAATAGGTCTAATGTAAACTATGCACTTTAATTAATAATAAAGTATCAACTTGCTCACCAATTGTAACAAATGTACCACACTAATGCAAGATGTTAATTGAGAAAATGTAGGATGGGAGAGAAAGAGAGTGTATATGGAAAATCTATACTTCCTGTACAACTTTTCTACAAACCTAAAACTGACCTAAAAATAAAGCCTATTAATAAAAATGTTAAATATATATATAGGGGTGTATAGTAGAGTTTCTAGCATGGTATTTTAAACAAGTATTTATCCCAGAGGTGGACCCTAGGGAAAAATTCACCCTAGGGAAAAATTCCTCAGTGCCTCAGATAAAATTAGATATTTTAGAGACGAACAGTACAAATAAAATTGATGATGTCAGGTGGTAAACAAGACAGATTTTAAAATGAAAAAAATTTGATGTGGGAATAAAATCTTAGTACCAAAATCAGATCTACAAATTCTGTACTGAAAATTGTACTTGATAGAATAATGGCCTATAATGAAAAGTCATAATATTTAGTATTTCTCTTGGAAAAATTATTCATATCAATATCTGATCAATAAATAATATCTTTTTAGAGACTATATGGTAATTACTGATCCTAAACAAAATAATTTTAGTAAAATAAATCTGAAAATATCATACAATATGTCAAATGTAATAGAAAATATTGAAGATGTATTTGTTTCATAAAATTCAATTCATGATATGATTTATTGATGAAAAAACACTTTTCATATATTTCTTATTAAAGCAATTCTATTTCTTATATAAAGTGTAATTGTTCTGTGGTTTGATGGATGGGATAAAAAATCTTGAATGCACAACTGGCATCTATCCCAGCCAGAAAATTGATTTAAATGGTCTTGAACCAGGTAATGCTCAATGAGAAAATTCAAATATTTGGAACTGTCCATTTTTAATCAAAGGGTGATATTTCCCCACTCCTCTAACCCATCACTTTCCCATTTTCTTTCTCTTTCCAACACCTACTCCTATAAAACCCACCCTTGGATATTAATATGCAGCTCAGCTTCCTGGTTAGTGTCATTCATTCTGCTATGACAGTCAGTATTTATTCCAATTTGAACATTTGCTTGTGTGCTAATGCCATCAAGAGGTAAATATCTGTGGAGTCAGTTTCTATTTTTACAAAATAATTTAGAGAGAGAGATCTATAAAATGACTGCTTTTCAAATGGACTGCAGAACTCCAATTCTACCCAGCAAGGAATTTTACTTTTTACCTGTGTTGGGTAACAATAGATTTTCTTCCTTCAATAGGTTGTGCAAAAATTCTTTTCAGAGGCATCATAAAGTTTCTGTTGAGAATAAGCCAAAGATGCAGTCTACTACATCCTTTAGCCCTTTAAGAGCTTTTACGAGCTGTAAATTCAAAGATTTTTTTGTTTGTTTGTTTTGTTTTGTTTTGTTTTTTAATTTACCACTCATCCTTCCTGACTAAGGAACATGTCAATCTCCCTATGTATTTCTGTCAGTAATTCCCATGATCTATTCCTCACGCCCTCACAAAGTTCCTTAAGTGAGGCCAGTATGCTTAGTTTACCGAATTTACCCCTTCAATCATGCAGAATCTCCTTTGTAAAATACCATGCAGGTAAGTGACCTTCTACCCACCCAGTATATGTATTTAAAACCAGTCTATCCCATTCTTTTCCCCCCGAGAAAT